TGCTGGAGGATTGCGTGGAGCTGGACGAGGACTGCGGGGAAGAGCGAGAGGCGGTGTCATGAGAGGAGCACTCTCTCTTAGAGGTGACCATCTTTTCATCACACGGCTGTTTGTGTTCTCCAGTGTACTTCTCAGACCACTGTCCCGCATTTACTCTTTTAATTAATAAAAAGCTGCGTACCCTCTATTTATACACGAACACAGGCTCTAATTATGTGCTGCTGCAGTTCTAAATCGGAAGAAGAGATAATTGCATGTATTTCAGTGTAAAGCAAGTCCTTCCTTTGCTGAAAGTACAGTGTGTCAGCTACTTAACATTTCAAAAGACATCTGTGCTTCATTTGGAGTTGTCAGTCACTGCAGTATAGCTGATGCTTTACAGTGTTCTTTACACCTACCCTCTAAACTTCACAATGTGCTGATTGGTCGAAGCTGTCGTTTTATGGCTGTTAGGAGACCCCTGGTGTGATACCGGACTTGTAGTTCCTGCACCTGTTGTGCAGCCTCTGGGTGATAACAGAACGAGACAGATGAGGCCTGCCTTACTGTTCCTTCAAGGAGTGTAAATGATTAAAGGGACCATTCACCTCAAATTGTAAATTGTCATTTACTCAGCCTCAGGTTGTTCCAAATCTGTTTGACTTAATTCAGTGGTACATAAGAAGATACTGTTGGTAAAAAAAATGTTGGTAACCAAACAGTTTTGGTACCCATTGTCTTCCATTGTATGGACCCAAAATATGATTGAAAGCAATGGGAACCAAAACTGTTTGGTTAAACCAAAACATTCTTCAAAATATCATCTTTTATGTTCCACAGAAGTCAGTCAGTCATACAGGTTTGGAACAACATGAGACTAAGTAAATGACAGAATTTTTATTACCCTTTAAGGGAGATAATTTCTGCAGCTGAAATGAAATTAAGGAGTATCTTGTAATTTTGACTCATTGCCGCTCTTGGATTATCTTCTCATCTGGTGGAACGATTGTTTTTATCTGTTAGGTGCCGGTCAGATGAGAGGAAGGGGTGGTCCTGGACGTATCGGTCTCCGTCGAGGCATGCGTCAGCGTGGAGGAGGCACAGGACGAGGTGCTCTCGGTGGCCGAGGAGCAGCACGAGGAGCACCTGGAGGAAGAGGTGAGAAATACCACCTCCAATGAATCTACATACTTTCTTGTTCAAGAAGCCGTTTTGCTCATATATATATATATATACAGTGGGTACGGAAAGTATTCAGACCCCCTTCAATTTTTTACTCTTTGTTATATTGCAGCCATTTGCTAAAATCATTTAAGTTAATTTTTTTCCTCATTAATGTACACACAGCACCTCATATTGACAGAAAAACACAGAATTGTTGACATTTTTGCAGATTTATTAAAAAAGAAAAACTGAAATATCACATGGTCCTAAGTATTCAGACCCTTTGCTGTGACACTCATATATTTAACTCAGGTGCTGTCCATTTCTTCTGATCATCCTTGAGATGGTTCTACACCTTCATTTGAGTCCTATATATATATCACAATAAGGAAAAAAGACTATTGTAACTTCTGTTTCAATGAGACTTGAACATTAAAAAAAAAAAGTTAAATGCAGTCTTCTGTAGGGTTGTGACGGTGAGGAAATTTTCCCACCGGTTAATCGACGTGTGACAACACCGGTAATACCGGTATCACC